TAGGGATCGCCCTCAGTGCTGCATTCACACTTTCCATGAGACTTTCAGGTGGTACTTCACATAGTCGTTGTAATCGGTTTCTAGGTTGCCCAGCTTTCATTGTTGCCATGATCTTAGCTTTCAGGTTAGTTGCTGGCTGCCTAGCTTGGCATTTCATTCATTGGGGCTGGCCTCCCAATCTCATCATCTGCATTCATTGGGGCTTGCCTCCCAATCTCTGCTATGACTTCCTCCTCTGAGGACCCTTCACCATGGACCCTGCGTTGTACCTCATCAATCTCAAGTTGTGACAGCAATTGCCGTTTGTGGATCTTGGAACGTTGTAAGTGGGAGTTAGGAATGCTCAGAATCAACCCCCAAACCACAGATCGATGAGTCACTAGCTAACCACTCGCCTCTTGCCCAAAGACAGCTGAGGATGACCATAAGGAGGACGAGCCCTCTACGAAATGGTGTATTGTTTATGTTGTACTGAGCAGCCAGGACACTGTTGAGATAAGTTCCATTTCCTGTTCTTACGTCATCATCAATATTTTTTTCCCTCATCTTCACAGACATTTTGTCCCATGCATTTGTCCTCACATATGTGCAAAAATGACCTGAAAGTTTGACTTTTGTTGTGCCATTCGGTGCCATAGCTTGGGAACATTTAATAACTGACGAGAGATTCCTTCAAAGTGCGAGGTCAACCGTGTATTCTTGGCAGAGGTGTATCACTGAAAGGGGGTAATTCATTTTTACGAGCTACTCTGCGCATGCATTCTCATTTGCATTTTTATGTGTTGTGTTTCTCGTTTTACAAATGGCGTTAGGGATATATATATATATATATATATATATATAAAACTCCTCATTATTTTATACTGAGACAAGATTGAGGCACTTTTAATCCGGCAATACTGAGACATTGTGATTATTTGGACATCTTTAATATACACCTGTCTTAATGCATAGTTCCTCATGTTTGAAAAGAGAAGGGAGCTAAACTGAATAAAGTATTAGCCTCGCTACATGTAAAGCACCACGTATGTAAGCAATGTCAAATTATCCGATTATATGATGACCTCACTAAAAGACAAGAAAAGACCGAACAGCTTTAGTTTGATGAAAGACATTAAACTGTTCGCTTGGCTGTTCCAACTACACAAGTGAAGGTGCTGCATTGGGCTGTACAAATCTATTAATACAGCACTTTGATCTTGGAGCACATTTCAAATTTGAAAAAGGCAACACAATGCGATTCACGGAACAGGTAATAACAGACAACAAAGTTAGTTCCTCCGGTCAACACTTCCACAGCCTTGCACCGTGAGGCTCACCATGGCTTTTTGCCATTGGGTATTGTCAGGTCCTTCAGGCAATCAGACCCTTCAGACAAACTTTAAAACACAAGAGGGACTGGGAGTCAAGCAGAGTTGTCTTTTCTTGCAAGGAGAACGAACTAAGAGTGTAATAGTCTGTGTGCCGTTACAGTCTCGGGAAAGCTCTGAAAAATATGTGCTCGTCTCCCCCCTTTTATTGTCTTTGGGATTGTCCTAATACTGTACACAAACTTCTAAAGCGGTGGGGGAAACATAGAATATATTCCGAGGTAATTGGAGGAGTCATGCTGACGATTGGCGGTTTGTCATAGCAGCTATGTCGTGAGGCTGATATCTTCACTTCTTTCTCAGAGGCTGTTATCTTCACTTCAAGGCTGCGAACAGGAGCAATCTGGTCTCTTCAGCATGATCAACGACTTTGATTTGCACACTGTCTACTATTCGCATTGCTATGTACAGAAATGAAGTATTTGCAGCGTCGCATTAATAAGTTTTATGATATATCTAAAAGCAGAGAGTGATAAATTATACACAATTACTCTTGCAGGTATTTTTAAAAGGCTGGTACGAGAGGATCTGGGGGTTTAGATGGCATGAGATCAGCTAAATTTGAGTGGCCAAACCATCCATCCATTCATCCATCCATCCATCCATTTTCTGATCCGCTTTATCCTCACAAGGGTCGCAGGGCGTGGAGCCTATCCTAGCAGTCTTCGGGCAGTAGGTGGGGGACACCCTGAACCAGTTGCCAGCCAATCGCAGGGCACACACAGACAAACATTGTCATCGTCGTCATTGTGGCTATTTTTAACAGCTTTCACTCCTGCTTCCAGCCGCCGCTTATGATGACTCAGGAATAGAAATTTTCTCTGTGGCATAAGGGCATGCTCAGTATGATCGTAAAATAACCCCGGATGATAACCCATTTTAATGTGTTTGTTAATCGACTCTAGTTTCCACTCTGGGTGCCGATCTCACACCTATAGAGAATGTGTCATCGAAATTGAACCTAACATGCATGTTTTTAGTAAGTGGGAGTTAGGAATGCTCAGAATCAACCCCCAAACCACAGATCGATGAGTCACTAGCTAACCACTCGCCTCTTGCCCAAAGACAGCTGAGGATGACCATAAGGAGGACGAGCCCTCTACGAAATGGTGTATTGTTTATGTTGTACTGAGCAGCCAGGACACTGTTGAGATAAGTTCCATTTCCTGTTCTTACGTCATCATCAATATTTTTTTCCCTCATCTTCACAGACATTTTGTCCCATGCATTTGTCCTCACATATGTGCAAAAATGACCTGAAAGTTTGACTTTTGTTGTGCCATTCGGTGCCATAGCTTGGGAACATTTAATAACTGACGAGAGATTCCTTCAAAGTGCGAGGTCAACCGTGTATTCTTGGCAGAGGTGTATCACTGAAAGGGGGTAATTCATTTTTACGAGCTACTCTGCGCATGCATTCTCATTTGCATTTTTATGTGTTGTGTTTCTCGTTTTACAAATGGCGTTAGGGAGAATTTTATATATATATATATATATATAAAACTCCTCATTATTTTATACTGAGACAAGATTGAGGCACTTTTAATCCGGCAATACTGAGACATTGTGATTATTTGGACATCTTTAATATACACCTGTCTTAATGCATAGTTCCTCATGTTTGAAAAGAGAAGGGAGCTAAACTGAATAAAGTATTAGCCTCGCTACATGTAAAGCACCACGTATGTAAGCAATGTCAAATTATCCGATTATATGATGACCTCACTAAAAGACAAGAAAAGACCGAACAGCTTTAGTTTGATGAAAGACATTAAACTGTTCGCTTGGCTGTTCCAACTACACAAGTGAAGGTGCTGCATTGGGCTGTACAAATCTATTAATACAGCACTTTGATCTTGGAGCACATTTCAAATTTGAAAAAGGCAACACAATGCGATTCACGGAACAGGTAATAACAGACAACAAAGTTAGTTCCTCCGGTCAACACTTCCACAGCCTTGCACCGTGAGGCTCACCATGGCTTTTTGCCATTGGGTATTGTCAGGTCCTTCAGGCAATCAGACCCTTCAGACAAACTTTAAAACACAAGAGGGACTGGGAGTCAAGCAGAGTTGTCTTTTCTTGCAAGGAGAACGAACTAAGAGTGTAATAGTCTGTGTGCCGTTACAGTCTCGGGAAAGCTCTGAAAAATATGTGCTCGTCTCCCCCCTTTTATTGTCTTTGGGATTGTCCTAATACTGTACACAAACTTCTAAAGCGGTGGGGGAAACATAGAATATATTCCGAGGTAATTGGAGGAGTCATGCTGACGATTGGCGGTTTGTCATAGCAGCTATGTCGTGAGGCTGATATCTTCACTTCTTTCTCAGAGGCTGTTATCTTCACTTCAAGGCTGCGAACAGGAGCAATCTGGTCTCTTCAGCATGATCAACGACTTTGATTTGCACACTGTCTACTATTCGCATTGCTATGTACAGAAATGAAGTATTTGCAGCGTCGCATTAATAAGTTTTATGATATATCTAAAAGCAGAGAGTGATAAATTATACACAATTACTCTTACAGGTATTTTTAAAAGGCTGGTACGAGAGGATCTGGGGGTTTAGATGGCATGAGATCAGCTAAATTTGAGTGGCCAAACCATCCATCCATTCATCCATCCATCCATCCATTTTCTGATCCGCTTTATCCTCACAAGGGTCGCAGGGCGTGGAGCCTATCTAGCAGTCTTCGGGCAGTAGGTGGGGGACACCCTGAACCAGTTGCCAGCCAATCGCAGGGCACACACAGACAAACAACCATCCGCGCCACCCAGGGACAATTTTTGAGTGTTCATACATGTTTTTGGAATGTGGGAAGAAACCGGAGTACCCGGAGAAAACCCACGCAGGCACAGGGAGAACATGCAAACTCCCCACAGGAAGGCAGGATCTGGAATCGAACGCGGTACCTCTGCACTGTGAGGTCGACGCGCGTACCAATCGACCACCGGGCTGCCGAGCCAAACCATGTGGGGGGGTTTTTTGTCCATTAATTTAAAAAAAAATTGCCAGGAAAATCAATTTCTGTTGACCGAATCAGTGTGTTTTATTACTTTTTTTTCTCTTGTCTTTTATATAGCGTGACTACAGTGATGACTGCAAGTTCAAGGAGAGCCTCCTGGATAACAACTATAATGCATATGAATCAGCAGCCCACCCTGGCATGTACATCGGCCTCAGCAGGGCTGGCAAAACCAAGAAAGGAAATCGGATCACACCCACCATGGCCATGACACACTTTCTTCCAAGGATGTGAATTACATCATCCCGTAACAAGACAGACTCTGTTGGTTGGTTGATGCATTTGTATAATCCTAAAATGCACAGATTTTACGGGAGAAAAGAGGTCCCCACATCCTGTAATTTATTACTTTACAACCTTTTAAAATATATGAATTCATATTTGACTTAAGTACTGTGTATATACAGGTATATATGCAGTTTGTTGCAAAAAAAAAAAAAAAAAGGTTTTGAGTTGTCAAATGTACAGGCTGTTATGCGTACTTAACCCTACAAGAGGGCAGGATACACAAATGTGGTGCTGCAAATGGCAAAGTACTGTAAATGTCTTTGGGGTTCATTTAATTTGCCCACTGTGATATTCCTCTGTTGTTTTCACCTGCCTGTAATGTTTCCTGTTAAACATCAATCCATTAAAAAACATGCTAAATGAAACCGTAACAGGGTGTTACTCTCTGGACATGGATTTAACACCTCTGACAGATCGGAAGATTTGCATTTAGACGATAATTATGCTATTATACCATATCTAAGACCGACTGTCTACTTTTTTACTGAGTGTCATCAAATCGCAATAATGTAATACTACAAGTATTAAAAATTGAATTCACAACTATAAACAATAACACGTTCACACCCTTTCTGTACAGAAATAACACAGAGGCATAACACAGTCGAAAGTGTTAATTGTATGCATGATGGGAAAGCCTCCGATGTTGACCGTTGTCATCTTAAATTCGTGCCAAGTAATGCATCGGAAATTTGTATGAATAAGTTTCAAAATGACACCAAAAACAGCAAGTGCAATGTTGGCTGCCTTTATCTTGCTATTCGAACAACCTTTGGTAGACGTGCCTTGATATGTGAAAAATGTCTGATCCGATATTACGTAGACTTGCTTATTGGTCCCTTTTTGTCCTTTTGGCCATTTTAACACTATGTTCTCAGACTTGTTAAAATGAACGGTAATGGTGATCCTCTTAGCACATTAAATTGTAAATTAGATTTTAGATTACCGGTAATGCAAAAATGCAATATGAATATTGTTGGAGGGAATGGTATTTTGTTTTGTATTGATACACCAATAAGTGCAAAATTGCTTATCCCTGCCATCAGGTCAAATACTTCTACCTAGAAAATAATCGACTCAAATGTCGTATTTGTTTGACCTTCAAAGAGAGCAAGCCATTTCGCGACACTTTAGAATCATCGAAAATGTATAAAAATAGCACGCACGTGTGGAACAACCACTAGTATAGATTTATAAAAATATCATTAAAAATATATCAAACTAACCAAATTTTGACATAGATGCAATCGATATGCAATTTTTTTTTCTTATCTTTTCAAAATATCAGACAAAGCCCTCAGTGGGATGCAGTGCACACTACATCCTTAATCCAAATATACAGTAGTTACATTACTACAGTGTTGGTTAAAACAAAAAGAAAATAATAGATTTTGCAAGATCATAATGGCTGCATTAACTGCTGTACAGGGAGGGGGGGAATCAAGAAACGAGTTCCACTTTCTTATTCATGATTTATTTTGAAGTGCATTATTGACAAAAATAAAATGCTGACATATTCCTTTTCCAACATTCCTATTAATTACAATTTCTTGGGCAAAAAAAAAAAAAAAAAGAATTTAGGTGCCAAAAATAAATACCTGATTCAAGTGGGCCTAAACAGATAACACCAGACTGAGTGGGTATAGCAGTTATCAGTTATCATGATGTAGTGCTTTTAAACAACAAACAAGTGAACATCCATCACTCGGCGTATGTCCGCTAACACCACAGAAAATCTCCCACCTCAACAAAAAGCAAGCTCTAGTTATCGGTTATTTTACTTTTCAAGCATGGAAAAGCATACACTGAAGTGTCCCTTTTGTCAGACGGCGAGCCTATGGAGCTTGGGTGGTTCCTAGTCCCACCGCATTTGCATAAGCAGACAACAAACTGACCACCTGTCTGGTTTCCAGAGTAAGCCTGGCTTCATTCAGCCAGTCCTCCGCCACCCTCCGCGCCTCTCCTGTCAGCTGGTTCACCAGTTTAGCGGCTAACTCCAGATCACCGTGCTCCAAGCAGTAGCTGGCATATGAAAGGAGCTTGAACGGGTCTAAATCCTCACCACTTAACTGGGTGGGCGGGGCTTCCTGTTTTGCCTCAAACAGCAGTGCTGATTGCAGGTAGGAGAGGAAATACTGATACAAGGAGTTGTGAGACTCATCAATAAGGGCAACCCTGCGAACGAGCGAGCGCAGACCATAGAAGCGGGCTCGGAGAGAGGCTTCGCTGTACACGCCACGCTGCAGCGACTCTTCCGGAAGAGCTGAAGCCAGAGCCAAGGCAAATTCGTTGTCGTGGCAGCTGTCTCGCACGGCCTGAGCGGCAACTTCCAGCGGCTTGGTGGGCGAACCAGCTTCGGCGGTCTTTAAGGTGTAGTTGAGAGCTTCCACAGAGAGCCACAGCTGGTGAGCTTTTCGAGCCTCCTCCTCCGCTACCACGTGGCCTGCATAGACGAGCAATGCTAAGACAGCTGACACATCATCAGAGCTCACCTGGATCCATAAAGGTTAAACTAACAAGACAAGAAAGGCACATGCATGTACACGAGACACTTGTATTTTCTATCAAATTAAATCTTGACATTTTTGTGCTGAAATACATTTGGAATCGGTTTCAACTCAGCCGGTTCAACATTTAAATTGTAATTAATCGCATGGTTGCCAACGTTAACTCAGAATTGATCAAATAAAACTTTCTTTCCAGGTTATTCATACTCTTGTTAATTGTCGAGGACAAATATGTTTACCTCATACAAATACTGTATAGTTGGGTCCATTGATACAGTAATTTTACAGTAATTCAAAAGGTATTACTGCACAGTGTAAAGGCATGTAAAACAGAGTCATAGATTTGTCTTGAGAATTTTTCTGCCACTCCAAAATATATTATGAATAATAATTTGAAAAATGAAACTTTCCAAATACAGCAATTATACACTCCATAAGAGAAGATAAATTAATCAAATAAATATCAGTCAAACAAATATAACTTAGGATAATATTGATTGTGCAAATTTCAAATCTGAAAAAAATGCAAAATAGTGCAAACAAAAAAAATAAAAAATAACCCTGGCATACAGTTTAGTTTTCAATATTTAATTCGGTGGATGAATTAGCCTTGACAGGATTTTGTTTTCAACTGTAGTAAAGAAAGAAAGTCTATTCAAGTAGATTAATCAGATCTCAAACGTCAAAATGAACAATAACTTCACTTTTTAAAAGTAAACTTTCCATTTATAAACTCTTTAAGTATCCGTTTTCGGTGTCTCGCGCTGCCATGGCTGGCAAAACAGACATGGGCGTGGACCTGTGCAGCGCGCTGGTTGTTTTGTTTCCGGTTTATTTATAATATATATATATATAAAATTCTTTTTTTTTTGTTTTAAACAAACATTTTGTATTGTGTTGGGCATTTTTAGGCTATGAAAAAAAGAACACAATTTTTTACTGTGTTAGGTGTTCTTTGGCCATATTCCCCCAATTAGTCCGTTAAAGCAAGGTGTTCTACCTTGGGTACTTTATGAGTCCGTTAAGGTGAAATTAAGTCTAAGAATCTGGAAGGCCGTGACTCTTTTCTGCAACAAAGTCTTTCCAATTAGCATGAGGTAAGCATGAGAGAATCTTACTGTCTATAGCCTCCTCCACTCCCTTCAGTCTTGCATAGGCAGTATTCATATCCAGCGTGAAGTTATCCAGTTGCTCTTGGCTCAGTTGACGCTGTCGGGTCTCTTGTTCTAACAGCTTACTGCTGAGGACCTAGAAAGACAGCATAGTTGGCTTTAGAATTAAAAAAAAAAAATGGACATTGGACAGGCCCTGACGGATATGAAGCCAAGGAGCCACATGAGCCTAAACGACAACAATACTCTCAATCCTACAACCTGCCTTCACCTCTTTGGGCTCCAGGTTAGAGCAGCGGGGGATACAGGATTAGAGAATTAAAGCCTCTGTAGTTTCTGCCTCAACCCCATGAAAAGAAAGAAGAAGAAATGTTTTCTAAAGCATAAAAATGCATCAAAATATGTAACAAATACATGTTCCAATTAGATTATTGCACAATAAATGAGAGTTGTGCATAATGTAAAAAACAAAGAATAAGAATTTAATTGTGCCCTCTTTAGTTCATGTTCTCTCTCAGAAGTGTTTTTTGTAAAGAACTGAGCAAAGGACTTGCTTTAGTCGGCTTTTAACAATCCTTCGAAAATGTCCAAGGGAAACATCAGCATAGTGAGCAATCGCCCGACTGGTGAGCACTTTTTCTGGGTGATTCACATTTACGTAAAACTATCGGAACACCTCATGGCCCGAGGGGCGAATGACGAGAGCAGTGCATAGACAGAAATCTATCTATTTATCTATCTACACACACAGACACAATCGATAGAGGTCCCTCTTAGCCAATGGGATGCCAGGAAGATGCTCAATAATAGCCAATGGCAGAGCAGCTATAAGTATGTTGCGTTCAGGAAACTCGGAGCTGCCAGTAGCAGCCCATACTGTATTTCTTTTACCTGTCGTATTGGAAATTACTTTCGTAACATGAGGCAATATTTTCCTGTTGAGGCGCTTCATAACTTGAAAATTTTGTATGAAGAGACATTCGTAAGAAGAGGTACCACTGTATTTTTAAAAAATGCACTAACTTATTAACAACTAAGAGATCAACGGCCATCCACAAAAAAAAAAAAAAAAAACACACTGTTAAACAAACCACAAAACCGAATGCTGCTTCTAAGTTTCGATGCAGATGGTGCGTTGAGCTAAATGACCTGCTCAGCTTCTGCTTTCAGTTCCTGCTCCTGCACTTTGAGGACATCTTGAACATGATCTGTGTGAGCAGCTGCCTGACGCCGGAGTTGAGTCCTCATCTCTGCTTCCATCACTTCCCTCAATTCAGACAGCTAAACAAATACAGTACACAATTATTTCCTGCAATCCATCACAGTTTCTGATGATGATTAAGAATACAGAAGCAGTCTCTAGGTACCTTCCTCTCCTGCTCGAGTCGCGCGTCCTCCTTGATGTGCTGCAGGGACGTGTTAACAGCCGCCTCCTGCGATTTCAGGTATTCCAACTTCTGTTGCTCCAGAGCGGCATCAATATGGATCTGCTCTCTGACTCTCTGCTCAGCCAGCTCTCGGTTCAGCTGGTCAATGCGACGGTGTGCATGGGCAATAAGAGCATTCAGGTCATCTGTTGACAGCTTACCGGCTAACACGGACACAGACAAACACACAAAGACGTTTTGGGGTTTTTTTTTGCATCCAACTTTTCCAGTTACTGTGTTTAACCAAAACAGGATTAGGTGTCACAACAGTCTTCCTCGTGATAGCAAAAGTCATATAAAAAAAGAAGACTGACAGCTTTGCAGCTCATTCAGAACGCTGCAGGATCGAGATTGCAACATATTACACCAGTCCAAAAGGCTTTACAATGGCTCCCAATCAGCTGTAGAAGAGATTTTAAAAGTCTGGTCCTGGTCTACACATTACTGAATGGTTTGGGTGCAGAAAGAGCTGCAAACCTACAGAACTTCACTTCCATAACAATTTGTCTAAATTTCCATATTTTTAATATTTTGTCAAGGACATTTACCACGTGACGGTTATTGCAGTGTAACATGTACAGTTACAGGATGAAAAGAATTACGCTTACTGTTCAAAAGCACAATACGGTCATTATATATATTATGGCATTAATATTTGTCATTGTATTTAGTGCAGCAACCTTGAATCAAAGCATGAGTTTTCAAAATATCTCCATTTATGGATGAATTAGCCTATTTTGTTTTCAACTGTAGTAAACAAAGCAAGTCTATTAATTCACATTGATAGCATGTCAAAATATGAATTTACTAAATTTTGACAAACAGATTAAGATAGTTTAAGCATGGGGAAAATGTTAGTTTATAATGAGTGCAATGAAATTATTGTACTACAAATTCTGATGAAACGATGCCAATTTCCACCTTTGGACCTAATAAAGGTTATCTGAAAGCTAATCAAAATATTCGTTGTATTAGCATATGAACTTTATAGGCTTGCCCTCTCGGCTGCCAAATGTGGTGACAAAGAAGTTTGCATTCCGTCAAACTGCTAGAAGGTCCGTCAATCCGTTGCGATTTCCGTGGGTATTTCTGGCCGACTCACGTGGGACCAGACTGACCCTCGTCAGTGATAACCAATCACTGTTAAGAAATTTAATTTCCTCGTCATACACAGGCACAAACTTTGCTTTTACCATACCGTTGATTAAGGTCTTATATAATAATTCTGCTGTTTTGTTTTGTTTTTTCTTTTAGTAATTCTAGAAACCTTAAAAAAATGTACATTACTTTTAACATGTTTGAAATGTGTTTAAAGTTCTCAATTTATGTGTTTAAATGTTGACATTGCACGTTCATTTCATAATTTTGGGAAGCCACTTTTGTTTTCTCTGCTTTCTGAATGTCATGAATTGTTCCGTTTGTAAATAATTTTAGGTGCTGTGTCTTTGCTTGTGTGAAGCACATTGAGGTGCCGTGTTTGAAATACATTATGCAATATAAATAAAGCTGCCCCTGCCTTTGAAAATCGACGCAAATGTTCAGAAAGCCTGGGTCACTCAGAGCACATTCACTAAAGAGACACTAGCAAGTGAAATACGAACCAGAATTGATCACTCCACCGTACTTTTGCCATAGTTTAGATTTAGAGTGACTATATTTTAGAATGTTTGTCAAATCTCTCTCTCGCTCATCTTAATTTAAGTTCATTTGATTTGAATGCATTCAAGTGACATTTTGGTTCATGGTAATTTGATGTTTGTGGATTTACAATATAAAACTTGTTTCCATAATTTTCGTGTATATCCATGTGATACATTTTGTATGCATCCCTTTAGCAATATTGTACTCATACTGAAAAAAGATAATTTTGGTCATCAGAATAATGCCTGTGTTGTCTTACTGAGTCCTTTCCAGTTGGCCTGAATCTCTGGAGTAAGGCTGCTCACTTCCCTTTGAAATTGGAGTTTGGCTTCATTAACCAGTTCACTGTACTGGGAGACGACCTTAGCTTCTGACTCAGCAGACTTCACCTACACGATAAACAAACACACAAGGAGCTTTGTCAGCTTTTGGCACTAACCATACAGTGAAAATGACATTTGAGATTGGCCGGGTGAAGACAAAGCAACAATAGTTTCCTTTCCAGGGAGGCTTGAGGGGACATATACTAGACATTTTTCTTTCTTTATCCAGAGGACCAGACAGACACCCTTACCTTATTGACCACTTTATCCAAGTCCACCACCATTTTATGGAGATTCTCCTCTGCTGCTAACACGAGGGGCCGGACAGCAGGGACATTCCGCCCCTTGGATTTGTCAATGACAGATTTGAGATTGTCCAAGGCCTCACTGTAGAGAGAGAGGGATAAGACTTGTAAAATACGCTAACACTACCAAAACTTGAATCATTATAAAACTCTATTTAATATTTATTATACATATTAACATATATGTGCGGCACGGTGTTCGACTGGTTAGCAGACCGTCTCACAGTGCAGGGGTGGAGGGTTCGATTCCGGCTCCTTCCTGTGTGGAGTTTGCATGTTCTGCCCGCGCCTGCGTGGGTTTTCTCCGGGTACTCCGGTTTCCTCCCACATTCCAAAAACATGTATGACAGGCTGATTGAACATTCTAAATTATCCCGCGGTGTGAGTGTGAGCGCGGATGGTTGTTCGTCAATGTTCGATTGGCTGGCAACCAGTTCAGGGTGTAGCCCGCCGACTGCCCGGAAACAGCTGGGATAGACTCCAGCATGCCCCGCGACCCTTGTGAGGATTAGAAAATGGATGGATGGATTATTATATATGATTGTGGTAAGCCTCACAGCATTGCAGGAAGGTTTACGGTACACTGTCTCTGGGTTTTCCCCACAGGGTTTTGACATCTTCCAATCATATATTAACGTGCAGTTCTCTCCCCATCCATTCAATGTTTACATTTAAATACATCCAAAATGTTATTTTTGCTACAGCAATAATAGAGCTTGAGACTGTGTCTCCTTATCTATGGGAGCGTTCAGAAATATTCTACAACTCTACAACTATGAGCAGGTTTTGCTCCAGTCCGACCGTTCGGAAACTCTGAGCATTTTTCGAATGTGCTGTTGGGTTTTGGGATTGTCCCAGAGCGTACTTTGGCCGCTCCAACTGGGGACAAGGGGTGCCAGTGCATGACGTGGTACAGATGGAGACACTTCAAGGATGAGCTGCTGATTGGTTATAACACACGATGTGTTCGGAAATAGGAGGGAAGTACGCTCAGCTCCTCTGAATGCACCCTGTCAATTCACTACAGTGCCATGAAAAAGTATTTGCCCCCTTTCCGATTTCTGTGTTCTTTGCATATTTATCTCACACAAAGATTTCAGTTCATCAAACCAATTTTAATATTACACAGAGAGAATACAACAAAATACAAAATGCAGTTTCTCAATGCCAATTAAATGTTTATATTGACAAAAAAAATCCAAACCTACCTGTCCCTATATAAAAAAGTCATTGCCGCCTGAACCTATTAACGGGTTCTGCCACCCCTGGAAGCAATAACTGAAATCAAGTGTTTGCGATGATTGGTGATGAGTCTTTCACATTGCTGTGGAGGAATTATGGCCCACTCTTCTTTGCAGAATTGCACCGCATATAAGCGTCACATATGACACATGACAACAATGTTCCATTAATTAGAAAAGGGAAGTAGTCGATCTGTGTTGAGTGTTTTTTCCAGGTGAAGCAGGTTAGGAAGCCCCAATATAAGAGTTGGGCCCCTCCGAGCTGAACAATATAACGTTCACATAAATGAAAAACCTTTTATTTTTTTTCTGTGATGACTTCTTTTAAAATTTCATAAAATAATTGACCTGTGTTGTTGGCTGCTGCTTGTTGCAGACAAATTTCTTGTTACGGTAAAATATTCTGCAAATATCATATCTTGAGTCACTGTAAATCAATACATAATACGAAAAAATGGTATGCCAATTAAGACAATTATACATCAGGAAATATGGTCATGCAGTACCTCCCCAAAAATGGTGCGACCAAATTATGTCCTACTTTGCAAAAGTTTGTGTCAAGCCCTCCGAACCCTGTGCTATTCTTATTGCAAAAGTTTGTGTCGAGCCCTCCAAACCCTGTGCTATTCTTATAACAAAACTGTCCAGTGAGAAATTTTCTGTCCACTAATATGACAGTATTTGTCATATTTTTCAATTAATAACATTAAAAATGGAATACTTATATTAACCAATGGAGAAGCTGTAAGTGACAGTTTAATCAAAAAAAAAAAAAAATCAATTTTTAATACAGTAAACCTCTGCTATATAGTGGCTCGGTGTTTTCGTTTTTTTCTGCATGATAAGTGCATTATTATACAATATTGCAAACAAATATTTATTCAAATGTAGTAAAAAGTCAACTTATATAATTTTAAGGCCACAATATTGCCTTCAATTTAAGTTGCTTCATTATTTCTAAACATGTCAGGAATGCCGGTGCAAGCTGCAAAGTTTAATTCAAGTTGAATGTACGGACATCTAAATTGTCTTGATTATTCATTAGTATATATATTAAAGAATTCAAGCTGTAATGCTGGTTATAAAAGAACACTTGCGTGCTGCTGCAATTTACGTTAGTCGACTAATCGCGACGACTGTTGATGATGAGTCGAGTAGCAAAACAATTTGTTTGCAGCCCTACTTGTTTCGATAAAATTACTTACTTGGCTTTCAGCAATGCTGTCCCTGCATCGTTCACGGCAGCGGCTCGATTTGCAAGACAAGCTTCAAGATCCTTCCACTGGGTTGACTTCTCCTGTGGTGGAACCTGAATCGGAGAACAGCTCTTACTGTGATGTTTTGGGGAGTTAACAGTTTGCTAATTTAGAAACAGCAACATAGTATTCCCTTACCTGATTCAAATGAACAGGTTCAATGTCAGGCTTCCGCAGAGCTTGCTCATGATCTGATCATTTCAATCAGGTGTGTTACAACAGGGAAACTTGGAAAATATGCAGGACAGCGGCCCTCCAGGACCTGTGTTTGACACCCCTGCTCTACGATACAACCTCCAAACTCCTCAATAAACTACAGTACATCCAGAATGCCGCCGCCAGCCTTCTCACCCACACCCGCACTCATGATCACATCACTCCCCCGTCCTTAAAAACCTCCACTGGCACACCGTTCCGCAGCGCATTCAGTTTAAACTCCTCCTACTCACCGATAAAGCCCTTCACAATCAGGCCCCCTCCTACCTCTCCGACCTTCTTCACCCATACACTCCTTCCCGCAACCTCCGCTCCTCAAAGACAAACCGCCTTGCCATCCTCGTGACCAAGCTCAAAACCTTGGGGGACCGAGCCTTCTCTGTCGCCGCTGACACTCTCTGGAAGTCTCTACCACAACACATCCGCAACTGTACTGACCTCCAATCCTTCAAATCATTTTTTTAAAACTCACCTGTTCCGCAATGCTTTGAACACCTTTTAATCTTTTACTCATTTTTGCTTTGTTTTTCTTCTTTTCTTCTTCCAACTGTGTTTTTAATCATGTATGCTTGGCTTTAAGGTATACATTTTCATCCCATGTTTTAAACTCTTGTAAAGTGTCTTTGAGTACGATGAAAAGTGCCTTCAAATAAATGTATAATTATTAAATCCAACACTGAATAACACACAAAAGCAACGCTAGCATCAGAAGTTCTGTCATTCAAACCGGGTGCTTTTGAAGAGTGTACCTCTGCTTCCATAGCTTCCTTCAGTTTTTGTGTATGTAGCGCGATGGCCTGCAAGGCTGCCTCCTGAGCTCCAATGGCCTGCAGCGTGGCTTTAGCTGAGCTGGCCAATGAGTCGTCAAGATTCCCTGACACAGCTGAAAAATACAAGACACACAAAAAGAAGCCATGCGGCATAACACTGTTTTGGTGTACAGCATAAGAGGCATGATTTCACTTTTTATTTTGTTTATTTACACTATGCTGCAAGCTTACATGCCACGATTTCCTGTTCATCTAGGTCTTGTTGAGCAAGTCGAGCTGTCACCTCTTCGACTGGACGCTCTTTGAGTGGTTCTGCTGCTGCTACAGACTCTATTTCAGTGGAGACTGCGGCTGTCTCTGCAGTTACCTTATGGTTATGACACTCCTTGCACTCCTCTGGACAGACACAAACACACAATTATGGCGGCTACAGAGCATAATCCTGGACCGCGGAGTTAAATTGGATGAGATGTTTCTCGCGAATTCTCTCAGACATGAAGAATATGTGTGTGGAGAAGTAAACCTGGAAGGTACTACCTTTGACTGGTGTCATCTCGGTGTCACATGGAGCAGGGACTGATGGTACGTCACTGATGGCTGAAATTATATGAGTCACCTCTGTTGAAGCCTCTGAATGGAACACAATGAAGACAACAAATTGTAGGAAAGCCTGTATAAAACCTGCTGAATGTAGAATGTTCCTGTAGTACAGGGAGGGCCTCAGTTTGTGACGGAGTTCTGTTCCTATAGTGACAAAGTAACCCAAAATTGCACGAAAGTCAGAAAGTACCACAGTAACCTACTACCTCTTCTTTTCTTTTCAGCTTCACTCCATCCAGCGTTGGCCATCTCTGCATGTCATCTGCATCTTCTGTTTTAACTCCAGCAATCAGAAATTATCCCTGGCCACACCTCCATAAATCCTACTTGGTCTTGCGCTTTGCATCCTGCTTGGCAGCTCCATTTCCACCCTCCTCCTGCCATTATATACCCTACACTGTGCCTGCTGTGTGCATTTCCATACCATCTAAATCTGGCCCGTCAATCTTGATCACCAAGATTGTGCGGTCGCTAAGCGAATCTCATCTATTTGGGCAATGTTTCATGACGGATGTCTTGTCTGACAACCCTCACCCAGTTTACCTGGTCTTGGGCCTGGCACGAGTAATGCAAAGGGTGGGACCCCTAGTGGTTGTTTTTGATCAGACACATTAGATGTACCTGTATGTACTTTGTATGAATACTATACCATGTAAAGACAATTTCTTTTTGCGCTGTTGCATCTTTCAAGTTATTTCGTTTCTCAGACTGGCAGTGTCTAACACAGTGATTTTAAACTGCATTACTGTGAGAGTTTTGAAAGCGAGGTACTGCAATATATACATAGATGGCAATGGCGAGTGATGAAAAAAGCGGAAGGGGCGTGGCCTGGCCGGGGGCGTGGCCTGGCCGGGGGCGTGGTTACTTATAAAAGTGGCACTAAACATGCTGAAGATAAAGTGTATTGAATTTACACACTATTTGAAAATTGAACAGAAAAAAATCCCAAGATCGCCACTATTCTTTCAAGTGAAAAGTTGTGCAATTTTGCTTATGCATTCCTGGTGAGCATATGTAACTCCAGATTTGCTGCTCAAAATCAAAACTAAAAAAGTAAACACATCCCCTGCCATATTTAACAATTTGTTCATGACTTGTATTCATAAAGTGTTGTGTAAATGTGATAAAAAGCTGTTGATTCTTACCTCATACAGTAACGTCTTTAGTTGTATCCGCTAAGTTTGTTTGAAAAATGCCGATCCCAAAGAATAATTGCTCCGTCGAATGGCGATTTTGTCGGCATGTTTTTTCACTTTTGTTGCATGATCTGTCAGGGCCACGACTCCCCGGGAGCCATAGTTAATGAAGTCACTCCAATACACACAATAATCTTTGCTTGCTACGTCTGGTTTCTTCAAAAATTGTCCAAGAGCTTCTGTAACTTCGTCGAACTTGGAACCAATTTTAACCTTTACAGTGACTTTTCTGTCAAGCCAGTCCCATCGGAATTTATTCTTGACATTTGAGTCAATTTCTAGGATTGAAGACTCCTGATCTTTCGTCAAAAAATTCATAATTCCGCTCAAAATGATCCCAGAACAATGAATTTGCGAGACGAACAGGCCGCCATGAATCAGGTAAAACAATATGTTACATGCAATTTGATTGGTCCAAGCGCTTGTAGTTAACCAATCGCTGGGCCGTATATAATCGAGCTAAGACTTCCGCAACAAATAATGCCTTCAGTGATCTGATTAGTTGAAGCTTTCATACACGTCCAATCGCAGGGCTGTTTACAAACGGAAAACGGAGAGACTGTTCGGGAGAGCTCGTGAAAACTCGACGATAAGGTACCTGACCGCCCCTAAAATTTTCTCAACGGATTTAGACGAGTCACAAAAATGATCAATTTAAGAAATAAAACGGCGGATTTCCGCGGATCCGCGGAAAATTGCCATCTATGTATATACAAGACCACTACATCCCTCACCATCATGTAGTAGTTCAATGAACGTCATTGGAATTCAAAAAGACGATCGCTGCATTAAAAAAATATATGATAAGTGTGGAAGGAAACGGGACTAAATGCTACTACTGCAACTTTATAGAGCGAAGGACAATTTTCCAAAAAAGCAATGAGACTATTTGCTAATATACAAGAAAGGTACAGGCTGTTGCAATGAAATCAAAATGTGTCATGGGAATTCAAGATTTGTAACACTAAACATGTTTAACAGGGCTGCAACTACAGCAATTACAGATTAGTCATCTGCTGTTTGTCTGTATTTATGACAAACAAAACAGCAGATCACCCAAAATGTTGAAAACTACTTCACCTACTACAGCATAAAGCCTCCATTCACAATTTACAGGCAAACTAAGAGTACAGTATTTTTCTGAAAAAGGAAAACTATTTTCTAAATATGTCAAATTAATTGAATAGTTTAAAGCGTCAGATGATTGCTTACCCTCAGAGATGTCTGCGATTCCTTGGAAACAGAGGGCAAATGAATGCATACATGCAACACATCTCTATAATAATAGCAATGTGTTGCTTTGGTGATAGCAGTATCTTGGCTCCATCTCACGAAACTTAAGTTTAAAACTTCAAGTCAAAATTAGTCCTAATAATGAGGCTCACCAGCCCTGAACGTGTCATAATAACTAAATCCTGATTCCACTGACTTTGGAAATAAATTAATCAATAGTGTGCAGTATTTCAGGGGATGTTTTTACACAATCAACAGTTGGACCTTAATTGAAGTGACAGTGGCTTTCCATCTCTTTTCTTATCGGTCGCTTCTGGCCATATCAAGCTCTTTTTCTCTGTGTTCTACTCCCCCTCAAAATATGTGTGACAGGAAGCTGAAGGAGGTTTTTGAAATATTTAGGAGTAACTTCTGCTGTTAGCAAGATTGCCTGTCTTGCTTTCATGTCAAGCACGTCTACTAGCCAGTTCACCTGCATGTTAGATTTAGCGCTCAGTATTGTTTTCAATACACTTTATGTTGAGATGTAGAAACAGTAACATCTAATGTCATATTTTTATTGTGGACGCATGAATACGGCGATTGGGTTATTTTGTGTGTCATGCCATGGAGATTCATTTTTACAAATTAAATCCCGTATACTGTATGACTTTATACTGTACAAAGTAGACAGTATATTGATCAATTCATTCTAACAACCAAATGCCACACTGGTTTGGAATCAGAACATATTGACAAAATTTATTTTAATTGTACAAATGATGTATAACAGTTTATGAAAGACTCATAAATCTGTTCAACAGGAATGTGACCATTAATAATAATAAATATACCACCACACAGAATAAAACTGTACTAACAATGGATCATATGCACACTTAGAATTGTGTTTTTAGGGGTATGATTATTGATGAGATTCTTACCCTCAAGGCTCTGTGCAGGCTGTACTGGTTTAGCCACTTCTATGGGGCTCTCTGTAGTCTCCTTCACTTTCTTTTCTTGCTTGGCTTTAGACACCTTCATTGCTTTTTCCATCATTGAGGGAGGTTGGGCCAACTCAATCTACACAGCAGAAAGTGATGCCATTTAAGATGTGAGAATTTGTAAATGGGTCAGGTTCTAACGAGATCCCATATAAAAACTGCACCAAATATTCTGCATTGACATAGATGTTAAAAGCTTTCATCTGGCTGTTATTTTTAATAAATCGTGTCGCAAAAATAAGGTAAATAACATTACAAAACTCTTGAGCCTGACGCTCAAGTTCAAGACCAAACTACTACCTAAAAAAAATAAATAAATAAAAAATCAGACAGCAATTGGTCCAGTGTGTACCTAATGCAGAGGCCGGTAAAGATGTGCAATGTTACAATCAATTAACTTACAGTAATTTAATTTCCCAAATGTATTCTTACACACTGGTATTTCAAAACACCTTAACCATAGTTTCTCTGAACACATCCTGACCTGTTTTTTGACAGAAAGACCAGTTTCTTGGGGAGCAGGTCCCAATGCCAACCCCAACAGCCGATCTGAATAAGGAACATTTTTCTCCACAGTTTCTCTGAATTTGTGGTCCCATTTGGCGTAGAGTATCGTTCCTGCAATGCCACCAGTGACTGTCATCAAGCCAGCAGTGACCACTTTGGCAGCACCACCGCTGTAGAAAAAGACCACCAAAAAGACAAGAATTGCTTTGTGCATTTGTACTGTATTTGGGATGTGTACACGTGTGTGTGTGTGTGTGTGTGTGTGTGTGTTCAAAACACCTTAACCATAGTTTCTCTGAACACATCCTGACCTGTTTTTTGACAGAAAGACCAGTTTCTTGGGGAGCAGGTCCCAATGCCAACCCCAACAGCCGATCTGAATAAGGAACATTTTTCTCCACAGTTTCTCTGAATTTGTGGTCCCATTTGGCGTAGAGTATCGTTCCTGCAATGCCACCAGTGACTGTCATCAAGCCAGCAGTGACCACTTTGGCAGCACCACCGCTGTAGAAAAAGACCACCAAAAAGACAAGAATTGCTTTGTGCATTTGTACTGTATTTGGGATGTGTACACGTGTGTGTGTGTGTGTGTGTGTGTGTGTGTGTGTGTGTGTGTGTGTGTGTGTTACCCGCTTTCCCCAGCTGTGTAGTGTCTGCAGGGCTGCAGACCGTTTAGAGGGGTGCGTCCATAGTTTTTCTAAGAAGCAAAAGGTCGTGAATTATGTCAAATTGTTTTTAAGGAGTGTGTGTATCCATGTGCGCAATCGCTGATGGCTGTAGTTAGAGCAGAAGATGCACAGGACAGTCAGGTATGGACAAGGATGATTAGATCACTGAAGGGGTAACCGCTGGATACGGTTACAGCGTGACTGGTGTCAAGGCCTGGGGTCTACATCCTGCATCACTTTATGTTTCACACTAAAAACAAAAACTTCCTATTGGTTGGTGAACGGGGATCGCTGTTTTCAAACCCAAAGAAGAGAAAAAAAAACCCTATATTTTTTTTTCTCTCTCACTTTTATCATACTACAAGCACCACCAGGCAATTGTCAATAAACTGAACAATAAGTATATTATTACATATTTGTGTGCACAATTTTCCATTACTTTTGAGTTCGCATTTGCTTCTTGTAACAAATGTAACAAATTACTGGAGCAATTGTGTTTGTATTAATATCACGATTATATACATTGTGGTTTTAACAGTCACGGTGTGTGTGTGTGTGTGTGTGTGTGTGTGTGTGTGTGTGGTGAGGCTATAATTCGCAAGTGTAACTCAGGTGCACAACCGCTAATACAGAGATTAACATCTAGTACTGTACATGTAACGATACACATCCGCGTTAGCTCCATGAGTCAGGCTGTGGGTCACTGACAACTCCTCAACTAGCATTAGCATGCTAATAGTGAGATTAGTGTAACGTTCTAATTGTACACAAAAGCAGCAGCTATCGCAGTGTCAAAGTCTTACCCGGAGTGTGGAATTAGCACCTCTGACACAGGCCCTGAGCATGGTCCTCGAAACCCTTTTGTCCTTAAGTCAAACTGATTTGAACCTGCACAGAAGCCGTGACTCTTTCTTTCCCCTTGGTTGCTGCTGCCGAGTCTTCCTCTTGAAGAAAACCAAATCATTTTGCGAGCTAAAAAGATGTCAGCGCCACCACTCGGCAGGAGTATGAATTGATTACCCCAATACCCACTTGTTTGCGCGTTGGCCTCACAGTGCAGAGGTACAGGGTTCGATTCCGGCTACGGCCTTCCTGTGTGGAGTTTGCATGTTCTCCCCGTGCCTGCGTGGGTTTTCTCCGGGTACTCCGGTTTCCTCCCACATTCCAAAAACATGCATGGCAGTTTAATGGAACAATCTAAATTATCCCTGGTGTGAGTGTGGATGGTTGTTTGTTTCTGTGTGCCCTGTGATTGGCTGGCAACCAGTTCAGGGTGTCACCTGCCTACTGCCCGAAGACAGCTGGGTTAGGCTCCAGCACACCCCGCAACCCTTGTGAGGATACTATCCGTTTTGCTAAAACGGATGGATGGATATTATCAGAACTTTGAAACACTGCAATGGCTGCTGGACACTAAACCTAGGTAGGGTTTAGTGTCCGTAAGGCTATTTTGTATGGCACCACACAGAGCGTGTGCAAAAGGCAAATCCATAGCGCTCCACAGAGGTACAGTGGCAACTTGTACCCTCACTCACGACTATAATTAAACAAAGAATATTTTTTCTGAACTGTTTTTTTTTTGTCTAAGTTAAAGAGATGTTACTATTTGAGAAAAAATATATTTACTTCTTAAGCACAACAATTAACTAATGTAATTTACTGTATACATGACATACACGCACAGGCACATACTATTTGTGGAGTCTGCACGTTCCACTCCAGAGAGAGGTGTTCCTCCTCACCTTACATTTAATTAACTTAAGAGTTGACATTTTAGAATAAGTGGTCCTCAGATATCAAATCAAAACTCAAATTATTCAACATGGTAACAAGTTTTTTATTAATAATAATAAGTCTTTACCAAGAAGCAAACATTACAAAATATGACATTTCTATTAAAAAAAAAAAAAAAAAAAAACCTCCCCCAAAAGGAACAGCCCAATAACCTCCCACTTTTAAAATTGTACACTGAAATCAAGCTTTACAACAGTGAACCATTCTCAGGAAATCATTTTTTAAACTTGTCCCCCACAGTCCACAACATTGTGTGCTCCAAGTGCATCTATGAACAAAAACACAGAAACCAATTCAACTGACATAATGCTGTAAAGAAACAGTCCCTGAGTCATTTGTAAAAAAAAAAAAAAAAAAAACTATGTTCTAGTAAGGCACTACTGAGAGTGCATGTGACGATCAAGTAGTTTCTAACTGGAACAGAGGCTTTCATGATAGAAAAACCAAAAGATTTACTGTTGGGGGATTTAAAGTAGACAATTTGACATGTGTATGAACATTTGACAACAAGGCGAACAATAAACTAGAGCTACAGCATGTCAAGCTCCGCTGTGGTTTCGGTCTTCTGCATTTTGACTGGAGTTCCTGCACAGTCATCATCCTGGAACACATCAAACATAAAAATAAATAAATACATAAATCCATCTCATGTATGGTCATCTGTTCTTGATCAATTCGAAATATACGACCAGTTATTTCACGAAAAATGTAAGTGGCCATGCAAAAACAAACTGGCTCTGAAAATACAAAAACCGGAAGGGCAAGCCTTTTCACATTTCTTTTGCCCAAATAGTAATGTGTACATTGAATGATGTTTCTGACATTTCACTCCCGACTTCCACTTTCAAGCAGACATAAGTGTCATGGTCAAAGTCCTCAGTTAATTATGAATGGATAGTCAATGCAATGCAACTCAATCTGGTCGACTTCGAAGATTCTACAATGAGCACTGTGTGATATAACAAAATACAGTGGAATCTGGAGTGACAAACAATCCTTCGTATGAACTTGGAAGTTATGCACAAATGTTTTGTCGAGTGAAAATCTGCCTCTAGTGGAGACTAAGACTCCTCCAACAACAAGTGCTGGGACTGATACAGCTGCAAAGGGGGACCACCATCATAATAAACCTTATACATTAAGAATGGGATAGCACTTGATATGTGAGGCAAGGTTGGTGAGCGAATACTTTTGACAAGAATGTGTGATGGAAAACTGACTTTTTAATTGATATGTACAAATACTGAATTTAAATAATAAAGTGCCGACCAGCCATTAGGCAACATCCATGCTACACAAAACCCCGATCTAGTGAAAGCCAAAAGGCAAGGAGAGCTGCAGTGCTGTTGGATGCACAGTTTAGTGTTATCTTATGGCTTTATAAGTTTTAACTGTTTTTAAGGGGACTTGCGGGGAATTCACATTTCCTCTTTTTTTATTTATTTTTTTTAATGTCGACCACAAAAAGTGTAAAAGATTCATGTTTCGACTCATTATTGTTGACATCTTGACAAATTATGAAGAAATAGTTCTCAGGCTATGTGGCACTAACACATTCATATCTTTGTAATTGTGTGTGTGTGTGTGTGTGTGTGTGTGTATATATATATATATATATATATATACCATATTTTCTGCACTAAGATACGCACTGGATTATGAGGCGCACCTTCAATGAATGGCCTATTTAGTAATTTTTTTCATTTATTGGACGCAGTGGATTATAAGGCGCAATCTACAATGCAGCCATTAGATGGAGCTACGCTACTTCCGTTCGACTCAAGAGGCGTTCATGACCGCCTCTGAAAAACGTAAATTAACGATTCCTTCAATGAAACTACGAAAATTGAAAATAATGCAGCAAAACAGAAAACCAAGCAAGGAAATCACGAAATAAATTCTATAGCACCCCCCAATGGAATTTATTGTGGCATTTCCTTGAGAGTAGCTCCAACAGAACGATCAGATGTCAGTCGTGTCTCAGAAGTGTTTTGTTATGTACAGTAAATATTCCCATCCCCGGAATTCTATGAAAAGGAATTTCCTTCACCCGGAACAAAAACCTGTGCATTAACATTTTGACTACGATATTACATGTTACCGGAACTTACGTAAGCGGAAATTCCACTACCCGTAACCCGGATTGAGACGTCATGCCGCGGGAGCTTAAATACACGCAATGCCCA